GAAGTACTAAAGCTCTATACATCATTTTGCGGAATGCTGTTAATGAAAAAAGTTAGAGGCAAATGAACGTAAATGATTGCATGAAATGAATGTAAATGATTTTCGATGCCTGTATATGTGTGTGTATATCACAGAAACAACTTTGAATATACGTGCATTCTGGTTATCTGGGTAGTCTCCGGCAAATTAATGCAGTAGGTCAAGGACTTTTGATTGGAGGGCAGAAGTTCAGAATTTGTTCACTACGCGGCGCTAGTGTGCAAGTGAATTTCCTGAATATGCTTTATTTTGGGATCCATGCCATATAAGAAAAATAAAGTCTTCGGCAAATTCGTTCAGTAGGCGAAGGCCTGTACCGACAAGTAGGCTAAACTGGCTATACAAAAAATAAATAAATTCAAAAATTAAATCATTCATCGTATCAACCACCATGGGACCAAACAGAGCATAAGAACGAGGAACCAATATCCTTTCCAACCAAATTAAAACATCAGAAATCCGTTAAAAATTACCGACGACATTACAAATATAAGGAAAATTTTGGTTTTGCTTTGGTGCTCGAATAGTTAACTTATGATTGTTTGCACAAATATTCCAATTCCATAACTCAGGTCTAATTTTACTATACAATATTCTTTCTACGATGATATATTCTACGTTAATGAGTTATGAATTTTCAAATAAACGTAATGCCTGGAAAAATCCGAAAAGTTAAATTAAAAATTTCCGGGGACATTAATCCTAGCGAATTTTTTAGGTTTCTTTTTCGTTCAAGCATAAACTCTACCTGTGGGAAATTTTTTATGAAATTCGGAGACCCGTCAACCCATTTTATTCGACAATTTGAAGAAATCCCCTACAGTTCATTACTGACTTTACATTTGTTGTTAGGAAACATGCAGAGGATGCAAAAAATCCATCCTTGCATTTGATGTTCATACTATTTGGTTTACGTGTAGATGTAGAATCTTGATATTCTGGTCATCTTTGTAACTCAAAATAACTGCTCATGCTCAGGAGAAATTTTCTCAGTAAAATCATGATCCGTAAAATGCTTAGATTAAAATAAGTTTATATGTGAGATCTCGAAAAAAATTCCTTGTTTTAAAACAATGCCTACGTGGTCGGTAAATCAATCTAAGCTTATGGAATGTTAAACAAGTCGGAGATCTTAAAAATTATAATAAGGACTTAGTTCATGATCCATATTTTTCTTTAGAATAAGATCTTACAAAATTTTTCAAGTTCTAGAATTTGTTATGTATCAGACAGAGATCTTGAGAAATTTGCAAAGCCCCACAGTGTTAAAAAATATTTCTCAGAATAGTATAAGCTCCAACTTTGACTCTTAAATTCGACCTTATGGCCTATTCGTCCTAATGACAATATACCTTACTAAAAAAACGATGCTCTATTTGTAACTCAAGTATTAAAAGCTTCTGGAAACAACTAACATAAATTGATGTTGAAACGAGCAGAAACGATTAGAAAATTATTCAATTATGCTCCAAGCCAACAACTTATGTATATATATACCGTAAAATGGAGTAACATTGATAGTTTTTTGTTTTTAGTTTATTCCAAATATGTTTTTCGTTTTTGTTTTTGTTTTCGTTTTCCAGCACAGAAGGGGATCGTAGAGCCGGGTCTCCAGTGAAAAGTCACTGTTCATACTGCATCAAGGTAGAGATATAGATTTAACATCACAGGTGTCAAATGAAGCATGCTTTAAAATGCCGATAGTAAGGAAAGTTGTTAAATTTAGGGGATAGTCAAAGTAACAGTGATAATAGTTAAAAGCTTGGAACATAAAGGGGTTTAGATGGATGATTTGCTATATCTTTCGACTCTGTTCCATGACTTACAGAATCTAAATTTAGGCACCAAGTTTCCGTTATTATTGTTATCTGTAGCCTTATCATTCCTATTTTTACGATTGTTAAAAGAAATCAATATTTGCAAAATTTTAGCTAGTATACACAAATGTTGGATAATGATCAGTGAATTATTATGCCATACAACCCTTTTCCGAAAATTTATTGCAACTAACGTATTATTAAATTTAATGTGTTTAGCTTTTGGTTTTTATGAAGTTTTTATATTTCATTCTAGTAATTGTACAATAATTAAAACCAGTATCTATTCCAAACTAAACAAACTACCTCCTATCCAAATAATAATGCAGGGTATATTCTAACCTAATCAAACCCAACCCAAACTAATACCAATGAAAAGTTCCTTAACAGATACAGACAATTATATAAAAATCCGAACTCCCACCACAAACAATCATCATGTTCCTTATTGAATTTCACTTAACTCTTTCTTCCCTACAGTACTCTTGTTAGCAAACATTTGATCGAAGATCTGATTACTATTTCCACAGACAAACAGACATAACACATTGAATATTTCTCACTGTAAAACATCGTCGCTAAAACATTACCGCCATCTGTTGAGTACACTGTGGTGGGTAGTACGCTGAACAGATGGCGGTAGTGTGTAAACGTCAAACGCAAGGGAATTGACTATGCGCGCCACAGGTTGCGGTACTACCAACTACGATACTTTTAAATTGACCGTTAAATGCTTGTTCGATGAACAACTTGCGAGATTTATGTCTGTTTGTATGTGCTATTTCTATTGGTTAAAATAACAACTTCCACTATTGCCTGTAATTAAAATAAACTAAGTAGAGAGATTTATTCCAGATAGGTAAGGCCTAGTTGCCTTCCTATGCGGACCCACACTTCCTATTCTCCTCACGAGATCAAATTAAAAGTAAAAATGTCTCTCTACCTCCTGATTATTCTTCGTTTATACATTGACCTGCAAAATCAAGCTTGCACACTAAGATTATTTCACCGAAATCTGTGAAATTTTACCGAAATCTCAACTGCTGAACGTTCGGTAAACAGTTCGGTGATTTTTCGCAGATTTTCGGTGATTTTTCACAGATATTCGTTGAAAAATTACAGGAAATCTGTGAAAAATCACCGACCTGTTTATCGAACGTTCAGCTGTTGAGATTTCGGTAAAATAATCTAAGTGTGTGTCTTCGTCGGTCTTAAGTAACACTTTTCTGTGATAAAATGCTTCATTCCAAGATTAGTTTCCTATCTACAGTATATTTTGTTTAGGGTGAGTACATTCATCACGGTCACCTGACTCCATCCCAACGCACCCTGTGATAGTAAATGGTATTCCCAAGTGCCACAACCGAACACGCAACAAGACATACAGCCATAACTAAAGCATTCACCCTTTTCGAAAATGAAGCAATACATACATTATTTATGAAACATCTGCAATATGGGTATTTTTGGTTATTCATTCAATAATAACTAATTAATGACAAACAATGAAAGTACGTCACGCAATTGCTAAGTGTAATTTTTAGTCGTTTTGCCTAAAATATTTAGAATACAGCTATAATGTACATTACTTAAACTAACTAATATCGTCCAATGAATTGCGGCAAAACCCGCCGGTTTCACACCTGATATTAGTGCCTTTATGTAAACGTAACTACGATGTGGCTATTGAAATGAAAAGAATATGTGATACCATCACTTTGGGCCTCTGTCTTGCTCTCCCATGCAAGCCTACAGCATGATGTAAAGCTCTACCACATTCGGCAAGGTGCTTAAGAATAGCATACGAGAGGGAAAGTATTTTTTATAGCAATGAATGTTTCTATTTTTTTTTTAAACGAGTACTGAGGATCCTAGAGTCAATTCGTTAGCAATATGATTAATGGAAATTATTGTGACTGACCATCATTTTTTTTATTTGGGTTTACTTTGATAATGCTCGATGAATGTAGAAAGGCATACAATTTAGTTAAAAAAAATGAAACTTTGAAAACATCACAAGCAATAAGAAGACAACATTGAATTTGGGATGGCTGTAACGGAAATATATTTCATAATTAATTGTTTGAGTGCCTTTTCAAATATGTTTGGAAAATTTGAAACACATACTATAAAAAAGCTCTATACGATATCAAGGGCAATACCATTTTTTCCAATTCGGAAAAATGGCAGAGAGTTAATTTAATCTTGATATTCTACTATCAAAGTTACCCACATTATCAAAGTCACTCTGTTTTACGGTACATATATAAGTATATATCCCGAGAACCTATCGGTGAAAGTAATGCAGCAGATTTTATAAGTACATTCCAAGGCTAATCACTGTGCTTTCATGACTTTTTTTTTATTATTACCAAGAGATAATTTTAACACTTTCATACTCGTTTCAAGCCTAAACCAGATATCATAGAAGAAGAAAGCACTATTTAGCATTGTACTCCATTTCGCCGTGAGTTCGAACGCATTTAAAATATCGTTTCTTATGTCCTTAGTTTTGTTTTATATTGCTCATATTAACCATTGTGAAGGCTCAATGTACCATCTTCCATCTATTCGCAATTCACTCTAATCACCGTTTTCTTTTACGGAGCATTTCAGCAGACCCGACATCAAAAGAATCTCAAAGTCATCACATTCCCCGAACACCATCATCCATCATTTCTCATGATCATCATCAAACTGAGATCGATTCCTCGCGTGTTTCAGGTCCAAACTTTCCTCTCACTCTCTGACGTCTCTGTTTCGTGTTTCCGATGTGCGAAAAAAATAAATGAAGGAATAACAATTGGCAAATAGATTAGATTTCATCTCATCCATCAAATTAGTGCAGAGAATCAAAATTTTCCCAATGATGCAAAAAATGTTTTGAATAAACTACCAGAAGCCCCTTTTTCTTTTTTCTCTCTTCTATACTCTACAAATCAAATTTCTTCCATCAAAATAAAAACCGTTGACCACGTGACATTCCTGAACTCGCCGCCGAACGGTCGAAATGAATACCTCCCATCTAAATGTACAATTCGCTCGCAAATGTTCTCCCTCAAAAACCGCCCAATCGAAAAATAAAACCAAAACCAAAACAATCTTTGCCCAACAAATACCTACTGAAAACTGAAACATAACCAGAACAAAGAACCTGAATATACAAAAGTACGCAGAAAGGGCGGATCTCGTCTGAGGGATCCTGCCACCTCGGAGCCGATAGGTGAGTACGACATTCGATAACGTTGGTGTTTCTCGCTGTCTCCCGCAAAGCAAACCATTTTTAGATATAAATCAATTTATAGAATCTGACAATCCCGGATCCACAGATTCCGAAGTTAGGAAGATACTAACACTTCATATACCGATTACAGAATATGATACGCTTGGTTCCGAGTCCGACAACGACATGGCCTCGCGTTCAAACCAGTCCAACTACCGACACCATAGAGGTAAGTGTACGCTACTGCCTGGCTTAAGTTGAACTTGTTTTAATGTTGGTACCGCGAATCGGAGGGAAGTTGATATGAGATTCTGTAAACAGATACTTTGTTAATCAAGCATTTTGTACCAATGTAATATTTTACAGTATCAAGTAATCATTTTAACCCCCCATTTGCGATATCAAACATTTGCCTATATACTATCGTTTTTGATCAGAATATTCATTAAAAAAAAAATTAAAATTAAGAGAGGTTTGTCTGTAGCTTTTGTCATGTTTAATACCATGTTGTTCTGATTTCGATCTGCTTCGTGCATTTATCACAATCGTGAATCACTGTTGCCAATTGAAGAAGCAGATCAAAATGATCCATTAGAATGACGTCCTTTGGCAGTACAGCGGTGCTGCTGTAATTTTTCGACAATACTACTACCAAACCCCCCTTTTTGGATATTACAAATAGAACTTTTTTTATAAAATGTTGTACAGGGAAATATACACTATTTATCAACAAAATACGTGAACATGTGGAATAAATCGGTTACAATTTTTTTCTGTGAACTTATGTTTTATGATTATCACTTTAAAAAATATTAATCTTAAAAAATGCTCTTATTTTCACATAGAAAATTCCACCGTAATGGCATTTAAACTGAACAATTTTTTTTTTAAATTGGGTCAGAATTTGCTTGTATCAGATGGCTAGTTTGATTAAAATTTGTTCAATCATTCGTAAAAAAGTTCAGCAAATTTATTTCTTTTTTTTTTTACAAAAATTGATCAAGACAAGTTTAATTGATCTAGATAGAAAAACTTTTCAGAAGAAAGCATGCAGGATAAAAAAAAATGTGCAGTGAAGGGTTAAATTAGTTCGTGCACATTTTTTTGGACAAACGACCTTGGGTGGTAAGGGGCAATGAGTCAAATTGTGATTAAATATTTAAGATTTTTTAATTATTGACATGGAGATGAACCAGCCTGCGGCTGAAAATCTCTTACAAAAATATTGAAATAATTTGGAAACCAAATTTATTCTAAATTGATGACGGACGATAGTAAACTTAATTTTATGAAATACAGACAACAATTTACTATTAGCGCCACAGGCGGCGGTAATATCAACTAATAAAAAAAAATACCGTTAAATGCGTGTTCGGGGGAGAATTTTTTTGTATTACCATTCGCTTATATAGGTGCATTATGCTGTAATATTATTAAAAATTAAAAAAAATTATTTACTAGTATGGTTCCATTCTCCCTGGAGCGGTTAGGAATTCCCTACCGGTTGAAAAACGCTGCGTTAGAGTAAGGAATTTTCAATATTACATACTCTTCAATATATTAAAAGCTTGAAATTAAAACAGCATCAAGTTTCGAGGATCAATGACAATTTGGCTTGTCCATAAACCTTGAAGATGTCATTAAGATTGGTTACAGGGATACATCGGTTTAAATGACGGTAATATTTCATCGCCTCAAAATTGAGTGATTTTTCACTCAGAATCTCAAAAACATAGGTTACACATAGACTGAGAAAATTTTTCCTCGATTTTCCAAGAATAACTTCCCGAATATGAGGAAAATCGAGAAAGGTTTCACTCAGTCTATTAGTATACTAGACTTACTAAAACTAAGACATAGTGAAATTTTCTTCAAATTTCAAACCGAAGCGAGGAAAACTTTACTCAGTCTATGCGTAACCTACGTTTTTGCGATTTTGAGTGAAAAACTACACAAATTTTAGTCGATCTCATCGACTGTTAACAGTTGATTTTATCGTTATGACCAGTGATGGAAAAGTTCACAAAAACTCACAGTGACTCCCGAACTTTTTCCTTGTTAAACTTCGTAATATATCGCACTGCAATATTATCAAGATCTCTGCCTGAGAAGGGGTAGTGAAGCTATTACAAAAATAATAACGGGTAAACCAAAATATGAGATCACTGTTTGCAAAACTATTCAAGATTCTGAAACTTATATGGGGACTTATATGAAGAAAGCTTCAGCACCTTTTTACCTATTATCGTCAGGGGGTAAATGAAGTCCTTTTGCGATGATTTTATGCATGAAGGTGCATTATATTCCAGAGCATTGCTTGGCAAAAAATGAGACTTCATTTACCCCCTGACGATAATAGATTAAGACGTGAACGACATTTTGCCTAGAGATTTTTTTCAAAACTGACGAAAAACTTGACAGTTAAGGAAGTAGAAATTGTTTTACGAACCAAGTCTTGAATTATTTAATTTTTCGAGATTTCGCAAAATAGGAACATTTTTCAACAAATTAACATACTGCTGCACGGAACGTTTGATAAAAAAATATTATAAGGACTATATCTAAAATGAGCGGTAAACGAATATTTCAAACCCCCAAACAAAATGTCGGATTCATCAGTTTCGGATTTTTCGGTAACCAAAATTAAAACGTAAATATAATTGGATTTTCTGACTAAAACATTTCACTGAATGTAATTCAACGAATCCTAACTATTTCAGTTTCAATCGGATTACTCTTTTACGACTGAGCAAACATGTAATGCCAAGTTTTTGAAATGAAACATACTCACTACAAAATTCGGTCGATTTAGAATTGAAGATGTTGATACATTCCTCAACAGTATTTTAATTTGTTCATGATTGAAATCCATTCAAAACGCACATATGATTTGTCATAGCATAATTCTCGTATTTTCAAACATGACCAGTTTTTTTTTTTTTTTTTCGAGAATCTAAAGATATGCATGACTTACAATTTATCATAGGAGATGTTTCCTTCATTATAAAAAGTAGTTGTACAAGAGTTTGTTTGAATTGCTATCTAATATCAACATGAAGTTTTAGTGTGATAATTTATTAGCCAGAAAAAGTTCTGAAGAGGGTAGGTTGATAGTTCCGCTATAGTACGGCAGTGTGACAATTGAATAGAAACTGAAAATGAGGGAGGGCCATTAATGTGACATTACTAGTCAAACACACACTTCTATACCTAACTCATTCATTAACGGATGAGGAGACTTGTAGTGTTTCTTCAAATCTACAGGCAAAAGAGTAGATGTTGAATGTTTTATTGAAAAACTCATCATCATTTGTTCACCTCATCCTAACCTTTCGCCATAAAGATTCATGGATAAATGTATTATCTGTACGTATAGGACGTTTTCTCTGCTGAAACCAAGGTTATGAACACATATTTTACCTGTAAGTTAAAAGTTTCGCATTCTGAGAGTCACAATCAACGATTTTGTGATCCCAGAATGAGTGAGTGCGTGCGTGAATAATTATAAAATCACTTATTGCGACTCTCTGGAAAGGAAATTGACTGGCAATCTCTTTCTGTAACATGCAAATAAAATATATATTCAAAGCATTCAAAGGGTTTACAACACCGAAAAACATTTGTTTATGCTAAAGGATTATTTGCAGCCTTGGTTGCAACTGTGCTGAAGACAAGTTTTTGATTAAACTTCAGGATAGTTAGTAATATGATTTTCTTCTGACATACTCCATCAACTGCTCAGCAGGCAACATTGGCATACTTGGAGCAAAACAATCAAGGCTACTATGTCATCACTCAAAAAATTCCACACGTCATCATCATGTGTCTCACACTTAATTTTGCGCTTATTGTGAAACACATCCATTTCATGTGTGAATATTATGCTATGAATCATGCCTGAACACTATGGATTTGAATTGTGACACACTTGGATTCTATGTGCCTCATTTGGCGATATCAATAGCTTTGCACATCATAGTTCAATATTCTACAATATTCTACTTTATCGACTCTAAAAATGAATCGAAAAATATATAAACAAAACTGCCAGAGGTCAGAAGAGGCCAGAGCTTTCACATATATTTTTAATTGGTCTGATTTGGGATTCGATCATGGACTGTTGGGGTGTGCTGCTGTCGGAGTCTTCGTTCAATCTCACTGTGCCACGGTTGTTCTCATATATGAGACGGGTTGATAGGATAAAGTCACAAGTCTTGTTTTAGATGTTTACCTTTCTGAGCAAGCAATTCACATCGCGTTGCAATGCAAAACACTTTAAATCCATATGTTTTGAACAGTAGTGTGATTCAATGTGCAATACACTTGAATGGAAAATGAAAGATTTTCAACATTTCAAAGTTTGAAACACTATAAATTAACGTGTATAACACATTGAACTAAGGTTAGATACACTTAAAGTAAATGTGATTGTGCATTTAAAAAATCAAGTGTTTAAACACTTCGATCAAACGTGTGAAATTTTTTGAGTGATACTGCAAAAAGCAGTGTTGCCCTGGATGCAGTAAATAAATCATATCAGAAGGTTATCGGTTTTGAAATCTATTAAAAGCTAATCCATGACTTTAAATCACTTCAGTTCACTTTTCCTACAGTAATTCTCATTTAAACTTCAAACGGTCTGTGCACCATGAGATCGCATCAATATGAGCTCAATTTTTGGGAGAATGATCAGGACCTCAATTGGAATCGGTTCAGTTGGGTAGAGCAACATCGAAATTCAGAAAATTTCTACGCCAAAGTCAAAGCATCTTCGATTTGCATGAAATTACGCATAATCGTTTTTTATGGTCAATAATTCACATTTGAGCTAAAATTCGTCCATTTTGAATCTATTAAAAAAAAAACTTCTAAATTGCGTATTCGAAATGTTTCAACAAATCATAACTCGAAAATGCCACATCAAATTTAAATGATTTTTGAGGCGAATTCCCTTTCTGAAAACAATATATACGACATATCAATAAAATCAGAAAAAGTGTTCAAATCTTTTACAACCGAAAATTTACACTCTTTTGAATATTTTTTAAAAATATTGCAAAAGTAAATTTTTCGTGAAAATATCATGTAGGACACTTAAAAATTAAGAAAAATAATAGAACTATAAATGTTGATAAACATTTTAAACTTTAATAAAAGTTTATTGTAAAATTTTGCACAGAAAATGATTCTGAAAATCAAAAAAGCAGCTTTCCGTGGAAAAATTTAACA